TTGCATTTAATAATAATGAAAAAAGTACAAAATACAAACTTGTGGAAGACAGAGTATAGAAATGTCTTTTCAATTTCTTGATAAGTGAAAGGATTAAGTGCATACAAAAAAAATATCTTCTCTAGTTCATCTGACAAGTATGTAGTTCAAAAATAAAGTGGGAGAAAAACTGTTTCCTTTTTCTCCTTGCCCATGCTATCTTTACTTTTGGAGTCTCCACATGGAAAAGTTACGTCTTCCGAGTTTATGGAGTTATATATTGTTTATTTCTGGGATATTAGTTGGAAAAGTGGTTCCAAGGGATAAGAGTTAGGTGCTAACTTTGAGTCACTCCTTGATCTGGCTTGTCATTCAAGCTTGGCTACATCTTTGCTGGCCTAATTCTTGAAACCATTAAAGTACATAAACCCAGACAAGACAGGGCATGATAAGACAATTTATATTATAGAGTTAAATTCTTATTCTTAGAACCCTTATAGTGAACACAGCCATAAAAGGCAACGTGATTTTTTTATGGAGTTATAGCCTTCATATTCATAATTTCAAAATTATATTCCATTATCTAGACTGAAATACTTTTGTAGTTTATGGGATGCATCTACCACTTCTTTGGTAATTGATATCCTTAGGAAGTGATTGAGTGGGTGTGAGTACCCACTGGCTGGGTGCTGTAGGTGAAGCAGAGATTTCCAGGGGAGGCAGAGAGTCTCCCCCGTCAACAAAGGACTGACTGTCCTGCGTTGGTGATGCTCAGGTCTTGTGCTTCGGAATGTAATACCAAATTGTTGGATCACAGACCTCAAGTCGGCCATGAATGTACCAGGCATTCAGGAACAAGGGGAGCCTGCTTGAAGGGTTAAACAGAGAGCTGCAGGGTGTCCAGTGTCAACCAGTCAGCTCTTGGCAGTAAGTGCGAGAAGCTCCTGCTAGTGAGAGATGAAGGAGAACTTGGAGTAACGCAACCAAGGAAGTATGCAGAACTGAGTTGTGCAGGTTACAAGTTATTGTAGTCACAAGTACTCCTCCTCTGGTGAGTGAGCTGAGCAAGATAGCAAACGAAATGCCAAACATATCACTCCAGGTTCACCACTGTAGTAGATAGGGTGCATCTACTACTAGACTGCTCTATAAATCTCTATGAAGTGGATTGAGTGGGTGTGAGTTGCTGCTGGTGAAGTGGAGAGCTAGAGTATATGATACCCCACCTGGGAGTATATAGAACTGTGGTATGCAGGTTGTGGTTGTGACATTTTCTCAGATCTGATTTTCCATATGCAGCAAGGGCATACAAGAAATGCAGAGAATTGAACTAAAAAAGAAATCCAAAGATATAAATGTATCATTAAGAGAAACAGTGGCATAACATTTTATGAATGTGGGATACAAGATCAAACCTTGAAAACTATCCTAAATGCTGTCATTGATGTAAATACATATGAAGTTTCATTTCATGTTTAATTAGGATCAACAAATGGTCTATTCCATATCCCACAATTTGGCTTGGGTTGTTCAAATAATGCACAGTAGATCACTACTGTGAATTTCCTGCTAGGGTTAAAAGCTTGTTGAATTTTAGTTTTTGTCTGCAGAAACCAACTTTGGTGATGAAGCTCTAAAACTAGCAGGCTATTTTCCTTTTTTTCCCAATGTAAGAAAGGGAATATGAGGTTATGGTTTTGTTACAGCCTCTTTCTCGTGAACAAATATAATCTAAAATTGTAAGTATAAAATAAGAATTCTAGTAATGTATGGCATATAGATTGCCCCATATATACCCTCATCCTCCTATTCCCATTATACAACTTTTCAAATTTCTTTCCCAGCCTATAAATATCTGATACCTATTGTTATATCACAAGATGACACGTCCGTGATAAACGTATATAAGCGATTTAAATTTCAAAATATTTTTGATATATCATTTTCGGACATTTCCTTGCCCCAGTTTTTTTCTGAGGAAACTAAATCGAATTTAAAAAAAAGGCTACTATATTGTCTTAGGAATTAATTGATGTTCATTCACATTTTTTTTTCATAACATATTTCATAATCCTCTGGGACAAGGAGATGACCGCACAGACACATGAAAAAAATTTAAAGGCATTTTTTTTTTGCGGGGAGCAACTGCCCCCCATATGGCAACCCCCATAAATTTGGTATCAAAAGATGCGGAATATCAAAATACATCAAATATCCAAAAATCAAGGAAATGCATCTGACTGGTGTGTGATTTTTTTTTTTTTTTTTTTTTTTTACCAATTTTATCCCCCCCAATCCCCCCCCCCCCCCTTCAGGGATGGTACCCTTAACTGAAATGAATCTCCATCACACAACTGGCAAGACAGAGGCTGAACAGGTCCAAGTGACCTACCTCTAATCATCTGATCCACCTTGGTATAAATTTCCAAGGGCAACATGCAGAGATTGAGGGATATGGACACCACCATCTTATAGAGCGTAATAAATATCATATTTCTCTTTACCTTTCCTTTCCTTATTATACGTTTATACATTATAATTGGTCTTCTGTCTACTGTAGGTACTTTATTTTTTCAGTTTTCCTTTTCATTAACTTTATTCATTCTTAACAATCTAACTACATTACTGCCTCTTTACAAGAATCATCTCAACATAAGCGTTTTCATTTGAAAGGTTTCACAGTAGGGTCCCAGCAACCCTGTGAAAGGAGGCCAGTGAGAAAGGTTTTGTTTTTCAGTGTTGTGTTGATTCTGGGTTATTCTTGAGACTACCAATGGAGAAATGGTACTCGGATCTCCTCAATGATTCATTCGTAGAAGAAAAATGCCAAGAATCAATGAAATCATTGGATTCCCTGCAGAATAACATTTTTTTATCTTTTTATTACTCTCTGGAAGGGTGCACTGGGCTTGTTGACAATTACCATTTCTTCAGCCTACTCTTTCTGCTACATCTAGTTAGAAGACATCAATTGGAGTCAATTAAAACTAAATTTGAATGATTTTATGTTTTCTAAAATTACCATTCTTATTGTGGATACAGTTTGAAAAAGATGTAAAAACAACATTAATAATAAGAGCTCTCCTGGATGTTAGCACCCAACCTATTAACCATCTAATAAGCCACTGCCTCTGAATAATCATTTTCACACTTCAAGCACATACACTATGTTACACAGACCCATTTAAAAAGGTTAGGGGAGGAATTCATTTTGCACACAAAAATACCCACTTGTTCATCTGAAGTTACTGTTGGAACTCCCTTGTCGCTGTATCTCTCCTCATCAATGTTTGGCTGCAAACAGCGTAACATTACAGCTGCCATTTTCTCCCGCCCTTCTTCCTTTTGTTCTTCTTGTTTTGATGGAAGTTTTCTGACGTCTAAAGAAGGGCCTGTTTCTCCTTACCAACCTCAGAGGGCCGTGTTCAGAAGCTAAATGCGAGGGTGTAACACGGGAAGAGTTCGATCCACCAATCAGCGTCGATTTTGAATAGAATCGGCCAATGAGTATCGACGCGAAATGGTTTTGACCAATCACAATGCAGATTCAGATTGGAAGGAGCGTAGCTATAAATGTTTTCATTTTATTATAGTCTAGAGGAAATTCATTGCCATGTGGGAATGGCACTCTTAGATATACATATTTTAGGAAAGTACACAACACGTGTCATTTTCTTCTAGATGAGATTCTTTACACCTCGCAACATATTGAATCATTCTATCGGGTGGATTATATGCTTGTCTTAGTTTGCCTCAGTCTGCTCCAAATCTGATCACCGGACATGCTAGTCTCCTTATTAGTGTCTTACCACGTGCGTACTCATTACAAGAGTCATCTTGCTACTTTATATTCAGAAAACAACATGAGGTGATTACTATACCTCGTACACGGACTAAGTATAGTACTTATGTACTGAATATATATATATATGACAGAAGAGATGACGGAGAAGATCGAGAGAGAGGATGCTAGAGATGAAGAGAGGAGAGAGAGAGAGAGAGGAAGAGAGAGAGATGATAGGTGTAAACGCCTTACCAGAAACGAGGATAAACTGCACTGGATAAAGCTATATATTGTACTCTCTCGAACAGAACACTGTTTTGAAAAATGTTATCGAATCCGCTCGTTTTAGGTTCAAGGAAAAGTTGAATGAATTTCAGGAACCATTGTCTTGTTCGTTTGTCTTGATTGTTCTGAATGAGACCATATAAAGGAAGCAATGAAGAAGAGAGAGAAAGATAGCCTTTAGTTTGGATCGAACAAGAGCGCACACCACCTTATTGCATTGTGTCAGTCAGGGGTCAGATAGAGAAAGAACTTCCAGTTATGACCAGGATCTGAGATATTTGAGAGGATCTGAGCGCAAATCTTTTCAAGAGAGGAGAGCTTGCAGAGAAGAGAGTAATGAGTTCGTGAACAACAACAGCGATTCGGTCTTCTGCCACGATGGTTTTAGTCGATGAGATATAGAGTGTTGTAGAGATACTATTCAGGTGAGAGTGAATGTTATTGAAGAAAAGACTTCGCAGACCGACTGTGATCTGTCATACGAGAGAGAGAGGTTTTGTTCTGATTTGATGAGACACGATCGGACGAATGGATAGGGTAGAGAGGAGGATCGGAGAGGGAGATGAGGAAGAATTAGAACTGAATACAATTGATTGAAAAACAGCAGAAGAAATGTAGTGGGGTAGGGGAATACGGGGAGAAAGGTTTTTTTAATGTTTCCAAGTTAGACTACCGTATTGAGTATGACAGGACAGGGACTCTGCGACTAGACATGATCAGATACAGCTAGAAGGTGCAGAGACGATGAGTTAGGAAGAGATGAGAGAGAGAGATATACATTAGTAAGAACGATATGAACCAAACGCTTGAATAACATAGATCAGTTGCTTGTTAGTTTACTCAGGACGGACGAGAGATGAGAGCAGAGAGACCCGAGTAGGACAGAAGCCTTTGAAGATTATGCATTGAATGAGTAGGAATAGAAGAGAGGAGATTCGGTCAATGTTATTTATCAGAAGGGGGGGTAAGAGGAAGCAGCAGAAGGAAAAAAGGGATGAGGAGGATAGGAGAGGATGATAAGATGAATAAGAATTAAAGAGGAGAGATATATTAGATGACTGAAGTTCGTAGGATTAGACTGAGATAGCTCTAGAGTGGGATCGCTGGGTTCACGGCTGAAATGGGTTTAAAGGGCGCAGCAAATGAATTTGAGGAGGGTCTAGTCTAGTGGGGTAGTCCCTCCAATGTGAGTTTGTTCAAAGTTAGAGCCCCAAAACACAACACCCATCCGTCTGCGCGGAGCGGGGTAGCGACGGGGTTGAGATGGTTAGGTTTCATTAGGAGGAAAAAGGAACCTGATCCTATGAATTGTATATTAAATATCACAGGGTAATTGAGGGAGAAAGAGCAACAGAGGCAGAGGAAGAATAGAGAAGAAGTATTTGCTGGTTATGTGATTGGGGAGAAAGCTACACCCCCAAAGAAAATAGACATCAAGAAACTTACATAGCTGAGTTAGGTGTCATTAAATAGCAAGGTATACACCTCTAATCCTTATTAGTCCTAGTGTAATCAATGATACAGGGTCAAAATAATCATTGGCCAGGTTGATGTATAAATCGACGTATTCTAATAGGGGGGAGGTAGGAGGAGAATGAATAAGATAACGAGGGGGAGGATGTGTAAGTAGTGTGGAAGCTTTTTTAAAGGAGGTATGCATTTGCGTTTTGTTGGTTGTCAGAGGAGACGTCCGTGCAGTGGCTGGTCTTTTCTTTGAGTGGGAACTGATTAGAGTCCTATGGGAAGTATATCTTGGTGTGTCTCATCTCTATTGTCTTTCTTATCTCTCTTTCAGGGTGCCTATCTGGGAGATTTTGACCCTATTCTTGCTCTGGTCTGCAAAACCGTTTGCTCTAATCCACATCTAATTTCCTCTGTATTCCCTGTTTTTCCTCGCGCTCATGGCGGCCCTCTCTCAAATTCTTTTCCCTCCCTTCTCCCCCTCCAGATTCTCTTTCTCTCCCCGCGTTTCCACACTTCAAATCTTTTCTCTCTGCTTCTTGACCCATACCTACCCTTCGCCCTCATTCTCGTCCACTGCTCCGTTCTCCACTCTTCATATATAACAGCCAGCAGATTGCAGCTACGTAAATTCTCGCAACTCTTTTGCAAAGATCTTTCCAAATTCCGTATGTCGCAGGGGCTGTACCCTCCGCAGCGACGAGCCACGCTTTTGCATACCCAGCGAACACCACAGGCGGACCGACCCTCCATCTGAACTGTTTGTTACGGGGGCTCTATACTCGCGTAGGAATGGTTGAAATGGCCTGGCTTGCCGGGGACGTGCGCAAAGGGGGAAACTCCCCGCGTGATTGAATTATGTGTGTATACGCACAAAAAACTCAGTGCTATTGTTGGAAACCCAGTATACATACACAAGCCAACCAAAGAAGTTAAGTGCAGGGCGCATGGGGGAAGCTTACGCTCTTAACACATTACCTTTCATAATGTTTGACTATGAGTTGGTTTAAAACATTAACAGTAAACTCACAGATAGATACAGTCATGTTCATTAATCTACGCGTTGCCCTACTCGCATCTATCTATTCACAACACACACACACAGAGACACACCACAACACACAACAGCAACACACCGACACCACACTGCAACACAGGACAGGGGAACACACCCCACACACCACACACACACACACACGACACCACGACAAACACACACACAACACACAAACACACACACAACACCACAACACACCACAACACCACAACAAGCATAACTGGTCATCCAGCGAAGGGTCAAGAGTCAAAGATGAGAGTGGATTTGAAGCACAATTCTGATCATCCAACAAGAACTAGCATTACAGATTGGTATAAAAGGATATAAGGAAATTCAAAAATATAACGAAATGACCGGAATGAATAGTCACACACTAGATTTCATTGATAGTACCAAGGAGTGAATGAATGAGAGTGAGCATGAGGTGGAATCAGAGAGAGAGATGAAGAATAAAAAGAGAACTGACCGCAACACTCGGAGAGAGAAGATGACGAGAGGAGAGAGCCGAGAGAGAAGAGAGACCGAAAAAGAAGAGATGCGAGAGATTAGTAGAAAAAGAAGAAGAGAAAAACGAGGGAAAAAGTACCATTGGAAAGAAGAGAGAAAAACAAAGGGATGGGGGAGGCAGAGGAAGAATTGAGAAGAGAGCTGATGACCGTCTGAGGTGCAAAAAAAAAAGTTTCCTGGAATTATAGTCAGAAGATCAGGATTGAATGACAAAAAAGAAAGAGAAGGAAAGTATTGCAGCGGAGTGAGGCAGAGAGAAAGAGGGAGGGAGAGGAGAACTAAGAAAGTGAGGAGATTGATCATTATGAGGATCCAAGGGAGAGAGAGAGGATTTTAAATGAGAGAGAGACGATGAGATGATCCGAGAGAGAACCGAGAAGATGAGTAGAGCCAAAGAGAGAGAGAAGTTAGAGAATGAGAAAAACAGAGAAGAAGTAGCCTGGTGCGGGGGATATTAGTGTACATTAAATTGAGAGAGATTAAGGATAAAAAGAGTGCTTAAGAGAGAAAGGAGATGAGAAAATGAGAGAGAGCTAGCGAGAGAAGGGCGAGAGTAGATACAAGAGGAAGAAGAGGAGACGAGTAGAGAGAGAGAGATGAGAGAGAGGAAGAGAGAGTGAAGAGGAGAGAGAGAGAGAATGACTATAGTGTTATCGTTGTTATGATGGTAACGAATAACAGCACAAAAGTGTATTTATTATGTTGTGGGGGCTTTGGATTTGCGCGTTGAGGCTATATCAAATAGTTCCTTAAATGTATAAAATTGCATTCTAAGCATTGATAGCATGATGTGTGTGCATATTCATTCATACAATTCAATGTTAACGCTGTGATAATAAAAAAAAAAGGCCCCTTGGCGATCATCTATCCGACTCGATATGATAGGCATCTTTCGGTCGTTTTTACAATGTTTTGCCACATCTAATTGTTTGGAACGTTAAACATTAATACCAGCATCTTAACAGTAATCGTCTACAATTTAGTTGATATATTTATTCCTTATTGTCTGATATTGTTATTACATAAAAAACAAATAATGATATTTTAAAAGTCAGGGTAATGTGCACGTGTTCCCGTCCTTGAATGTGCTATTGTGGACGCTCACGTTTCCTTGCGGGTTTTGTAGTGTTCACCGGCCTGCACTGTTGTGATTATATAGAAATAACACATTGCAAATGTGTAAACCTGTCTGTGTGCGTATGTGGTCCTATGAACACATGTGTCTGTGTATGTGAATTTGTCATGCCCATGTGTACCTAAGGTTTAGAGTACACTCATGTGACCCTGTGAACCGTTGTACCTTGTTCCGTCTATGCGTCTGTGAATAACGGCCTAGAATTAGTATATATATATATATATATATATATATATATATATATATATATATATAT